ATCATTGAGTCAAGTGGCGTGGTTTCGATTCCTGCTTGTACGTGACAAGAAGTCGGGTTGCCTGTCCAATTACCAGGGTTTTTCTCCCGGTTCTCTGGTTAAAGCATGCGCATTGAATTAGAAGGTCTGTCATTGAGTCAACTGGTGTTGTTAACTGGTACGTGTTAAGACATAGGGTCGTCTGTCCAACCTCATGGGTTTTCTCTGGGTCCTCCGATTTCCTCCCACTGCTAAAGACCCCTAGAATAAAATTGAACCATATGTTAGTCCTGAAATGACCTAGGTTGTGTTGAGTGGATGTTAAACCCGATTTCTCTCTTTTTATGAAGTTGCATGTCCTTGGACATGAATCCACCGACACAACCCTTCAATCATAACACCATGGTAGTTGTGGTGGTTGTCATTGGTCTTAAGTACAAATAATTTAACAACTAACCTGCTTTATTTAATCTTATCTGATTTCATAACTAGTCTCTATTATGATACAAGGCAACATGAAGGTTAAATATAATAAGTGATTGACAAACATCAGTTTCATATTGCCTATGTTCAGCTTCAGTGTGCGAAAAGTAAAACAAAGAAAAGTCGAACAAATACAAGAAATATCACTTAGGTCTTTAGTTCTGAAATGAAATGAAATGGGGTTTAACATCCTGTTGTTCTGCTCCTATGCTGGGCAAATGAAGACGGGCATACGCCATACAGTGTGCTATGAGGGAAATTTTGCCCGGGCAGCGGCACTATCGCCTACTCTTATATCGAATTCCAACTGCCAAGGGATCTTTTACGTGCATTCCAATGTATACACGGGACCTCGGTTTTTCGTCTCATCTGAAGGACTAGACAGCTTTCCTTGTCAGGCCCTCCGTCCTGCATCACTGACAAGGGGAAACCACGCCGGAAAATCTGGATGAACTTTCTCGGCCAATGCAGGGATCGAACACCCAACCTCCAGGCTAGCGAGCAAGCGTCTAACCCACTTAGCCACCGTGATCCCCTAGTTCTGAAATAGTTCAAAAAAAGGGTTTGTAAAACCTCAGTAAACCCACCAGGCTACTCCATAACATTGGGCCAATAACTGCCTATGGTTAATAAAAGACGTAAATGTTTAACGTCCTACTGTTCAGCTCTGATTAGGCTTATAAAGACCGGCATACATAGGCTATGAAGAAAATCTTGCAACGGCATTCCATCTGCTAAGGGATCTTTTAGTTTTACATGCATGTCAATGTTTACACAGGACCTCGTTTTTTGTCCCATCCGAACAACTAGACACCTATCTTGTCAGGCCCTCCGTCCTGCACCACTGACTAGGGGAAATATGAATGAAGTTTCTCGGCCAATGCAGGAATCGAACACACGACCTCCAGGCTAGCGAACCAGCGTTATGCCTCTTGTTTTTGGATAGGATATAATGACAATCATTGTGGGAATAGCGAATATGTTTCAGTGAGAAATATCACTTAAATGAAATAGTTTGAATAAAGAATTTCCGACGTGGTTTCCCCTTGTAATTGGTGCAGAACGGAGGGCCTGACAAGGACAGCTGTCTAGTCCTTCGGATGATACGAAAAACCTAGGTGCCGTGTATACATTGAAATGCACGTAAAAGATCCCTTGGCAGTTGTAATTCGATATAACAGTAGGCGATAGTTCTGCTGCCCGGGCAAAATTTCCCTCATAGCACACTGTATGGTGTATGCCCATCTTCATTAGCCCAGTATAGGAGCAGAACAGCAGGATGTTAAACCCCATTTCATTTCATTTCATTTGAATAAAGGAGGGTTGGATGGCTGAATGGTTAGCGTGCGCGCGCTGTATCATAAAGTCTGTCATTGAGTCGACTGGCGTGGGTTTTCTCCGGTTTCCTTCCACTGCTAAAGACCCCTACGCGCAAGAAAATTATTGAAATAAAATTAAACCATATGTTAGTCCCGAAATTACCTAGTTTGTGTCGAGTGGACGTTAAACCCCATTTCTCTCTCTCTCTCTCATTAAAGAAAGTTAAAGGCAGTTAACAGTTAAACCCACAACTTTGGTTAGGTCTAAATATTAAGGCCACCTGCAGATTTCCTCGCGATCACAAGATGTAAGATGTTTACATCTTGTGACCTTGACGAATGTAAGATGTTTACATCTTGTGACCTTGATGAAATCTGCAGGTGGCCTTAATATTTAGACCTGACCATAACATTGTGCCCAGTAATTCTATCTGCCTTTGTATTACCTTAATTAAAGATACATTATGTAAGATTTAGATAAAGAGCTAGCTATTCTTGCTATAATAGTTCGAAAATAGATAATGTAAAATGAAGCTAAGTCTTGCTCCTCCATTTTTAGCTTAAATCAAAATATGGCTAAGTTGATTATGGCCTGGATATGTTAATTAATGTCTAATAATCTAATTAAGAATTTAGAAAACATTTCAGGCCCAAAGAATGACCTGCATTAGGTAGATTTAGCTCTTACATAATGTATGTTTAATATAAGGTCAAATGGTCTGTTTTGAATCAAGTGGCATGGTATTGATTCTAGCCTGTCCAACTTTATGGGTTTACTCCGGGTCCTCCGGTTTCATCCCACTGCTAAAAAGATCACCACGCGCAAGTGAATCATTGAAACAAAATTGAACCATATCTGAGTCCCAAAATGACCTAGTTCGTGTCAATTAGTGGACCTTAGGGCCCATTTCTCATTCTCTCTTGTATTACAATAAAAGGCCTCTAGGTATTAAATACAAGTATTTCATAGTGCTTTTTCCATGTATTATTTAATACTTTATACATGACTGCTTCATGTAATGTAATAAAAAATATTTATATTAGTTGACTTTTCAATTTATCTGTATTATAATTGTAGTAGGAGGGGCTTATGACTGGCAAAAAATGTACTCCACGAAGCTCGCCAATATGTAATACAAGGCAAGTCCGACAAAAATGAAGTATCTAGGGACTTAAAAGCAAAAATGTAGGTTCAAGCTCGCCAAAACCAAAGGTTCAATCGCGTCCCGACCCTCAGTTAAAATAAATACAATGGCAAAAAATGTACTCCACGAAGCTCGCCAATATGTAATACAAGGCAAGTCCGACAAAAATGAAGTATCTAGGGACTTAAAAGCAAAAATGTAGGTTCAAGCTCGCCAAAACCAAAGGTTCAATCGCGTCCCGACCCTCAGTTAAAATAAATACAAAGTAAGTCCCGCCCTTTTTACCAGACACAAAACCTCCAACTGTGGGTTTATTCAGAAGAACCAGGGATTCGTATACTGGATGCTCAATGGTTTGGCCCAAACATCAATTCAGAGAAAACAAACGATTATTTATTATTCCTAAACAATTTTATTAAACAAATTGCAACAGCTGACAATCGTAGGCTATGGTTTAATAAATCTATAAATAAATAGATGAATAACTGAATGAATGAAGGAGTTTATCCCTAACCAATTAATTGGGCCTCAATTTCTAATATAAAAGTTTAGATTTATCCCAGTGTTTATCAGATGAATATGAAGGTAGGATTTTACAAAACAACTAATTTAATGTTATCTCGAGATTCCATGACTATTAGTACTATAGTAACTTTCAACAACTACGAATCGTACGCGTCTTTCCGCCTACAGTAGCCTAATACTGGTTCCACCCGTTTAAGACCACGTCCTAAATGCCGGATTTCGCTCCGAACAAGATAAAATTCAGACGGCAGGCACAGTCTCTACACACGAAACAATGCAGGTACCGGTTTGCGCAAAGTTCGCACAATAAAACCAATGACATGAAAAACCAAGACCGAATCTACATAAATGCAGACAAAAGTCTGCAAAGTAAAAAAAGCTCCACGGAATCACTTCGCGAGAGTGACCCGCGCCAATGATCGACGAGTATAATTACCAAACAATCCGAACCGAAAGCGCAGTAATATTAGAAAATGTAGAAAGCCACTTTAAAGGAGCTAAATCGCTAACATTTGGGACCTAGAAATTGACAAAAGTGGGTCGCAACGCATATAATACTGTAATATGAATGTATATAAACTGATTTACATTCAATGGTTTCCGTTTTTACTCCAATTTCAAATCAGTTATGTTTGGCGAAATAAGCCAGCAGTCTCAAGTGAGTGCAAATTTCTAGCATCTGGTTATTCCAGTCTACATTAGCCGTTTGATTTGGTGCAATGTGTCTAGCCTCGTCCCTCGAGTCTCTTGATACATCTGGGGCTGAAGCGCATTATGGTACACGATTCGTGTACCAATGGTAAAATGTTTATTTTGTCTTAAATATTGGATATCAAAAGCCCATCTTTTTCGGGTAAGATCACAACATGAATGTTGATTTAATTTGACAAATAAATCGTGTTTTCAATGTTGAAGATTTTGGATAATATTGAGTTAGAGACTTAGCTCCTTTAAATGTTAAATGTATGAGCGCGGAAAATTCCTAACTAAATCACGACGTTTAAATATTTTTTAAATCATCGATAAATAAAAACCAAAATTAAATATAGTTTATTAGCATGGCGGAAAAGCTTCTTTTCCCGGCTAATAAATGGAATAGTTACTATTCCCGTACCTATATTAATCCCGGACCGCGGTACAAGGACAAGCGGTGAATTCGGCTCCTTATATACCCTCTTACTCGCGAAACGCTCGTGCGATCAGCGCTGAAGGCACCATTCAAACGCTGATTTGATTTGTCGCGCGTAGCCAATCAGAGAGCACGTAGCGAAATCTCAAGGCTTGAATCAAGCATGGCCGACTTCTGACAGGTAAATAATGAAAATTAGCAATTATTCATATAATATGATAAACAAACGAATGTTCTATGCGCAAATGGTCCTAAACACGAAAGTAGAGAGTGTTTTCAATACATAAAAGTAGTTTTGAAGCATGTCATTTGCTAGTTTGGTGACAAAGGGATTTTTAAAAAATGAAAAATTCCCACATAATCAATAATCATAATGCAAAAAACATCAATAAAGAGACTGGTAGATGTAGTCTAACATTATATTGACCTAGTTATAGTTTCTGTCATGTGACAGGTGTTGAAAGCTATCTAATTCCTGTATGTGAAAAGATCAATTTTAAACCTGCATAGTCTCTAGATAATATATGATTAATCAATGAAGACATGGCTGAAGTAAGGTTGTTTTGTATTTTACTGCTTTTAGCAGTTTGTACAGCTGTTAGATATGAACCCAATTGGGAATCTCTTGATGCAAGACCCTTGCCATCATGGTATGATCAGGGTAAAATAGGTATTTTCTTACATTGGGGGGTATTCTCTGTACCAAGTTATCAGACTGCCTGGTTTTGGTGGTATTGGAAATCGGTGAAGGAACTGACTGTGGTTGATTTCATGAAACAGAATTACAGAGCTGATTTCACTTATGCTGACTTTGCTCCGATGTTTAAAGCAGAATTTTTTAATCCTGACCAATGGGCTGATATATTCAATGCTTCAGGCGCTCAGTAAGTAAAAATATTTTTTTGTCCCCCGCCTTTCGAAGAAAGCAGGGGACTATTAAAATGGGTTCGTCCGTCTGTCTGTCTGTCCGTCCGTCCGTCCGTCCGTCTGTCTGTCCGTCACACTTTTTGGGACACAATAACTCTCTTTCTAATTGAGCTAGAATGTTCAAACTTGGTGTATGTGTTTATTAGGTCAATGCCTTGATGTAGTTCGAAGATGAGCATTTTCCGCTTAGGGTAAGCAGAGATAAGCAATTTGATTGGTTGATGCTTTGGGACACGATAACTCTCTTCCTAATTGGGCTAGAATGTTCAAACTTGGTGTATGTGTTGATTAGGTCAATGCCTTGATGGAGTTCGAAGATGAGCATTTTCCGCTTAGGGTAAGCAGAGATAAGCAATTTGATTGGTTGATGCTTTGGGACACGATAACTTTTAATTGAGCTAGAATGTTCAAACTTGGTGTATGTGTTTATTAGGTCAATGCCTTGATGGAGTTCGAAGATGAGCATTTTCCGCTTAGGGTAAGCAGAGATAAGCAATTTGATTGGTTGATACTTTGGGGCACGATAACTCTCTTCCGAATTGAGCTAGAATGTTCAAACTTGGTGTATGTGTTGATTAGGTCAATGCCTTGTTAAATTCATTTAAAACATAGGAGCTGCTTTGACTCGATGAGTAAGTCGCTGGCTCGCTAACATGAAGGAGATCTCAGATTAATGATCCCGGTGTTGACCGAGAAAGTTCTGGTAGGGATTTTCTTGCTTAATTGTCCATTGTCAGTGGGTACAGGCTGGAGGTACGTCCTTGCAAGGAAAAGTGTCTAGTAATACAGATAGGACAAAAAAGAGTCCTTGTACACATTGGTGTGCACATAAAAAAAACCTTAATTTACAGTTGGAATTCGAAATAACGCCGTGACACGGCTGTCTGTAAATTGCCCTCATCTCAATGTGTAGCGAATGATTGTCTAAAGAAAAGTAGGATGTTAAACCCCATTTCATTTCATTTCACACATACCTGAATACCATATTATGACTCAGAATAATGCTCTATTTAAGGTGTATGGCTAATTGGCTATATCTATTGTACAGGTGTAATAGCACTCAGATAACTCTAACATTCATCAAGCCCCTTTGCCTATGGTGATAATTGACATACCACAACAATTAGACTGTTTTTATTGATTTAATTTGATATGCAAGTTGTGTACTGTAAAGAGAAGCCATGGTGGCAATATACAAGTGGGTAAGATGCTGGCTCGCTAGCATTCTCCGATGTGGTTTTCCCTTGTCAGTTGGCGCATGATTGAGGGCCTGACAAGGACTGTTGTCTAGTCGTTCAAATGGGATGAAAAACTGAGGTCCCGTGTATACATTGGCCTGCACGTAAAAGATCCCTTGGCAGTTAAAATTCGATATACGAGTAGGCTGCCCTGCCGCTGCCTGGGCAAAATTTCTCTCAAAGCACACTGTAGGCATATGCCCGTCTTCATTTGCCCAATCAGAGCAGAACAGTGGGACGTTAAACCCCATTTCATTTCAATCCATTTTGTGTACTATAAAGCCTAATGTCAATTGTAAACTTCCATGTTCTACCCCATTTTCTTCAAATATTTTACCAGTGACATCGACATCTTGGGGCCTGTGTGTAATTGTGTCCTCTTGTGATCCAGACTATGGGAGTTTCCACAGAAAAAAGATTACTGATAACACTGTAACGTTGATATCATTGATCATGACTAAGCAACAAGTTACTGTTATAAATGAAAACATACTAATAGATCAAGGTCGTCAGTTTATATACATAATGTGTATTACTTAGTTAAAATTGTTAGTAATCAGTCATTAAGTAGGTGTTTTGTCACTAAGGTGTTAAAACTGTGACTATTGAATGATATACACCACTATTGTCCAGGTTTGTGTATTCATTAGTGATGGGTGTTATAATTAGTCACGCTTTTACACCAGTAGTGACATCTTTTACAGCTAGTTACACACCTGCTAATTAATGACAACTGTATAATTTCTAACCACTTTTTATACATACTAAACATTAGTTTAGAATGCTGACCACTAATATGATTTAATGACAAAAATTGTCATTACTAAAATGCCTAGCTTATTAGTCAACGGAATCAGCTTACCAGTGTAAGTTATTGATAGAAGTTCATTGAGACAGCAGAACATTTAAAAAATTATATGCTGGCTTAACGGCGACTCCCGTGTTATGAAAGTCGTAGGTTGCCGTTAAGCCAGTGCGACGAAAAAAAGTTGCCAATTGTCATCCTTTTCGTCGTACTGGCTTAACTGCGACTCTCACGTTGTCTCTAGAAGCACAACGATCTAAATGGACGCTTTCAGCCACCATATATTTGTGTTTTATATCTGAGGTCTATAGCCTTTGTCAAAATATAGATATATTTTCACTATCTCATATATACTTACTGACACAATAAAGGGTATAATCTGTGAGAGGCATTTAGTAACTGGATAGAGCAATAAACTATAACACATAGTTATGGAAAAACAGCTACTTATTTATTTGGGCGACGTTTCGGAGAGTATTCTCTCAACGTTATCAAGCTAATACAGTAATACAAAAATTATGAGGCCAATTTATACAGAAATTCTATAACAACAATTCATGAAACCACACTGTATTAGCTTGATAACTTAGAGAGAATACTCTTCCAAACGTCACCCAAATAAACAAGTATGTGTATAGTTTATTATTAAAGGGTATAGTTTTTTGTAGATAAAATGATAATTGTGTGTATCTTTGGATTAGGACGGGGTGCCACGGTGGTTAAGTGAATAATATGCTGGCTCGCTAGCCTGGAGGTCACAGGTTCACTTCCCAGTGATGGCTGTTTAGCCATTCGGATGGGACGTAAAAGATATTTTGTTTTGTTAAAATATTTTGAACTAAAAACTGTTGAGAAGAACAACTATGTACTTTGGGTTTTGAAATGAAATGAAATAAAATGGGGTTTAACATCCTACTGTTCTGCTCCTAACCTGGACTAATGAAGACGGGCATACACCATACAGTGTGCCATGAGGGAAATTTTGCCTGGGCAGCAGCACTATGGCTACTGTTATATCGAATTCCAACTGACAATGGATCTTTTACGTGCATGCCAAAGTATACACAGGACCTCTGTTTTTGGTCTCATCCGAATGACTAGACAGCTATCCTTGTCAGGTCCTGCACCACTGATAAGAGGAAACCTCGTCGGAAAATCCTTATAAATTTTCTTGTCCAATGCAGGGATCGGACCCACGACCTCCATGCTAGAGAGCGAGCGTCTTACCCACTTAGGCACCGTGGCTCCCCTTTTTCTTGAAGAAAATGAAGCAAAATTTAAACAGCTGTCCTTGAAGAACAGAAAATTAGAGTGGTGTAGCCTAATAATTATCAGATTGTTTGTCAATGTGAGGTTGATTGGTGGCAGAAATTTCAAACACTGACAAGGACAGCTGTCTAGTTTTCCAGAAGAGACAAAAAACTGAGGTCCCATGTACACATTGGCGTGCACGTAAAAGCTCCCTTGACAGTTGGAATTCGATATAAGATTAGGCCGTAGTGCCGCTGTCCGGGCAAAATTTCCCTCATAGCACACTGTATGGCGTATGCTCGTCTTCATTAGCCCAGCTGGGAGCAAAACAGTAGCATGTTAAAAACTCCATTTCATTTCATTTCATTTCAAACATTACTTTGACACTATGTGGAAAGATGATGAACTGTTATTGGAGCCGTTCCCAACCAGATCGTTGTAACCACTGTAACCACTAGCACTGTTTTCTTCATCAATGGGAATGTTCCCTGACAGAAGGAAATAGCAAAATAGAAAAACACCCATGGGGCAAACACTGGGCAAAAGTGTCAGGGTATCACTAGCTGCCAATCGGATATGAATTACTTCTTAACTTCAGTAATAATTAGCTTTTAACCAATAAAAGTTCAAGAATAGATAATTATCTCAAAATATACCTGTTTTGGTTTCTTCTAGATATGTTGTCTTGACAACTAAACATCATGAAGGGTATCACTAGCTGCCAATCGGATATGAATTACTTCTTAACTTCAGTAATAATTAGCTTTTAACCAATAAAAGTTCAAGAATAGATAATTATCTCAAAATATACCTGTTTTGGTTTCTTCTAGATATGTTGTCTTGACAACTAAACATCATGAAGGTTTCTGTAACTGGCCATCAAAGTATTCCTGGAATTGGAATGCTGGAGATGTTGGTCCTAAAAGAGATTTAGTTGGTAAGTTGATATATTATCATAAACCTGTAAGTAATGTAGAAAAATAGTGTCATCAATATTGTATATCTGTCTTATTACAGCCACAGTGGCTCAACGTTTTAGGGGCTAGCTCACAAACTGGGGGTTGGATGGCGAATGGTATCATAAGGTCTGCCATTGAGTCAACTGGTGTGGTTTCGATTCCCCGGTTGTACATGACAAGGAGTAGGGTTGCCTGTCCAACCTCATGGGTTTTTTCCAGGTCCTACGGTTTCCTCCCACTGCTAAAGACCCCTACACGCAAGCGAATTATTGGAATAAAATTGAACCATATGTTAGTCCCGAAATGACCAGGTTTGTGTCGAGTGGATGTTAAACCCTATTTCTCTCTCTCTCTCTCTCCAGAAGGTCCTGGGTTCGATCCCAGTGTCCACTGAGAAAGTTCATTAAGATTTCCAAGCATGGCTTCCCCTAGTCAATCGTGCAGACAAAAAGGCCTGGCAAAGAACAGTGTCTAGTTGTTCCATGTACATTAAAACAAGTAGATTGACATGTTCTACAATTTATGACGTCATCCAATTAACCTCCAACTGTTCTGCACCGATCAGGTATTCACTCCCACTGTAATTTGAGAAAGTTTGCCGAGAATTTCCAGCGTGGTTACCTCAGTCATTGGCTCAGTATGGAAGGTCTGGCAAGGAACAATATTGAGTCATTCGGATGAGACAAAAAACCTAAGGTCTAGTGCTGGGTATTGCCACTGCAGTCACGATACGATACGTATTGCGATTCAGGTGCTACGATACGATTCGTATCACGATTCATAACCAGGTCAATATTTACCAAGAAAACAACAGGATAAATGAATAATTTATATTTTTAGTCCTGCCGATGTCAAAGAAATAAACTGTTTTAGATCAAGATATTGATGTGAATCAAAATAAGGACCAAAACAATTTAAGAGTGTTTGTGTACCTTTAGATGATGTGTGACATGGATTATTAAGAGTGACAGGTTACTTACTGAAGCGACAAAAAAACATTAAAAAAAAATTGTGATACATCGATTCAGGGATATATCATGCCAGCATTACTGTGGTCCTGTGTAGGTGGCCAAAATTCACCTCATTTCAATAGCCTGTCTTCATTAGCCCGGTTGATGCTGAAAAGTAGGATATTAAACCATATTTCATTTCATGTGATTTTTCTTTCCAGGTGATTTAGCCAAGTCTATCAGAAACAGAACCAAGATTCACTTTGGTGTTTACCATTCTTTATTTGAATTCTTTAATCCGCTATTTCTCCAGGATCAAGCCAATAACTTTACCACACAGAACTTTGTCTCAGTTAGTAAAAATGCTTCTAGACTATCTTCTACTTTCTCTTTTGTACACAAAACAATACCAAAATTTAAGTGTCATTAATAAAGTGCAAGCGATGAGCGAATGGTTAACATGTGCGCGCTCTATGATAAGGTCTGTCATTGAGTCAACTGGTGTGGTTTTGGTTCCTTGGTTGTACGTGACAAGGAGTAGGACTGCCTGTCCAACCTCGTGGGTTTTCTTGGGTTCCACCTGTTTCCTGCCACCGCTAAAGACCCCTACGTGCAAGTGATGAGCGAATGGTTAGCATGTGCGCGCTCTATGATAAGGTCTGTCATTGAGTCAACTGGTGTGGTTGCGATTCCTCGGTTGTACGTGACAAGGAGTAGGATTGCCTGTCCAACCTCGTGGGTTTTCTTGGGTTCCACCGATTTCCTCCCACTGCTATAGACCCCTATGTGCAAGCGAATTATTAAAATAAAATTGAACCATGTGTTAGTCCCAAAATGACCTAGTTTGTGTGAGTGGATGTTAAACCTTATCTCTATCTCTCTCTCTCTTTAAAGTTTCCACCTCCTAGTCCTCTAAGCCCTGCCCACTGTTGCAAGTTCTTCAATATGCTATTGGAATGACCTGTCAAACCTTAGGCAAGAATTCTAAGTAACGGTTATATTTTCATAATAAATGCCAATTAAAACCAAACTCACCAAATACAATGTTATAACATTTCTAAAATCTAGAGAAGGGCGCGCCTTCCCTCCCCACCCTGTGCCATTTATGCTTCACTGTCTTGCTAGTTGAGGGGTTGGATGGCTGAATGGTTAGCATGTGCGTGCGCACTGTATTATAAGGTCTGTCATTGAGTCATCTGGCGTGGTTTTGATTCCTCGGTTGTATGTTCAATGTTTATTTTTTTTTATCTAGGACAAGACAATGCCAGAATTGTATGAACTAGTTAATAATTATAAACCCGATGTAATTTGGAGTGACGGAGATTGGATGGCTAATTCATCATACTGGAATGCTACTCATTTCCTCGCATGGCTCTATAATGACAGGTAAGTGAGAACATAGCAGGCCCGTAACTAAGGGTTCGCCCCCCCCCCCCTCCCCACCTGTGAAAAAATTGTCGACCATAAAAAAAATAGATATACATTGTTCGTCAATTTTACAGGAACCCTGAGAACACTTCCCGCCACCCTCGTTGCTCGGAGCTAGTTACGGCCCTGGAACATAGCCGTAGGGGGGCCAATCTCAGTTTGGGGGGCTGAGGCTATTTGCCCTAAAATTTTGTTTGTCGCCCGAATTTAAAGAATGAATCAATCATTAACTAAAACGAGTTTTCCACAAAGCTCCACTTAAACATACATTATGCAAGAGCTAAATCTGCCTATTGCAGGTCTTTCTTTAGGCCTGAAATGTTATCTAAATTATTAATTAGACATTAATTAACTTATCCAGACTATAATCAACTCTCGATGTCATCGCTAGCCTGTGATATTTACTGTATTAGGGTCTGATTTGCTGCTCAACTTTCATTCATGATTAAATCATGAAATGGATAATCGAGACTATGTTTTTTTATGGTACCGATGATAGTAATGATGATTGAGGTTAGGCAGAAAATTCAATTGCTGAATTCTCCCTTCACATTATCTAGTTTTTAACTATTATAGTGAGAACTGCCAGCTCTTTATCTAATCCCCCATAATGTATCTTTATTATTATGGTATCCAAAACATAAACCGCGAGGGATTTCGTTTTACACTATTATACAATTATATTTCTATGATTATATGGTCTCATTCTCTCATGTTTGTGCCCGAAAAATGGAGGGTTCACCGAATCTACGCCTCCGAGTGAGAGTCAAGAGTTGACATTTTCTTCAGTTAAATTTCATATAACTAAACATGAGCTCACACTGCTTACTCAACAAATATGATTCTATTTCAGTCCTGTGAAAGATACAGTAGTAACCAATGATAGATACTAACTGTAAAAATGATTCTATTGCACTCCTGTAGTAAGAGATAGCATAGTTACCCCTGATCGATGCTAACTGTAAACATGATTCAATTTCAGTCCTGTGAGAGATACTGTAGTAACTAATGATAGATGCTAACTGTAAATATAATTTCAGTCCTGTGAAAGATACTGTAGTTACCAATGATTGATGCTAACTGTTAATTAATGATTCTATTTCAATCCTGTGAAAGATGCAGTAGTTACCAATGATTGATGCTAACTGTAAAAATGATTCTATTTCAGTCGTGTGAGAGATACAATAGTTACCAACGATTGATGCTAACTGTTAACATAGTTCTATTTCAGTCCTGTGAAAGACACGGTAGTTACCAATGATTGATGCTAACTGTAAACATGATTCTATTTCAATCCCGTGAAAGATACGGTAGTTACCAACGATTTCATGGATGCTAACTGTAAAAATTATTCTATTTCAGTCCTGTGAAAGATACAGTAGTTATCAACAATAGATATTATCTGTAAATATAATTTCAGTACTAACCAATGACAGATGCTAATTGTAAACATGATTCTATTCCAGTCCTGTGAAAGATACAGTAGTTACCAACGATAGATGGGGTTTAGATACCAACTGTAAACATGGTGGATTTTTAGATTGTCATGATAGTTATAACCCAGGTATTTTAATATATATATTTTAGAAGGGTCTTAATATCATTCCAGTTAAAAGGATCAGTGAGAGAGAGAAATGGGGTGTAATATCCACTGGACTGAAATAGAATCATATAATGCTTACATTTAAAATCAGTCATGCGTGTAAGGAGTCTTTTAGCAGTGGAAGGAAACTGGAGGACCCACAGAAAACCCATGAGGATGAGCAGGCAGCCCGTCTACTTTTGTCACCTACAAACTTTGGATCAAAGCTTTCGATTCCCAGCCTGTACCTAACAAGTAATAGGGTCGCAATTTATTGAAATGACATTGAACCATATGTTAGTTTGTGTCGAGTGGCCGTTAAACCCCATTTCTCTCTCTCGGATGCCACTTGATTTAAAAGATTAATAGTTGTTAATGCTATATGGGGTAGACACAAATCAAGTATGGTGGATTTTTACATTGCCAAAACCATTTCAATCCAGGCAGTTCAGAGAAATTGCAACATCCATTTACTTATTTATCTTTTGTGTTGTACTAAATAAAGTGCCTAATAATTTCATATAGAGGTAGTCAAGTGTCATGTGGAGATTTACGTTTCTCTATGTGCTGAGTACACATTTATCTATGTGCAGAGAACACATTTGTCTGTGTGCTGGGTATACGGTGCTGAGTACATGTTTATCTATGTGCCAAGAACACATTTGTCTATGTGCTGAGTACACGTTTGTCTGTGCTGAGCATGTGCTGTCTACACGTTTCTTTATGTGCCAAATACACACATGGCCGAGTACACATTTTTCTGTGCTGAGTTAAAGCGAGATCAAGGCTTCTATTGAAGATGCACTGGTATCAAACGTGGGACCTCCTGGTCAATGACGAAATGAAAGGAAAGGAAATGAGATGGGGTTTAACGTCCTACTGTTCTGCTCCGACTGGGCTAATGAAGACGGGCATATGCCTACAGTGTGCTATGAGAGAAATTTTGCCCGAACACAGCGCTACAGCCTTCTCTTATATCTTATTCCAAATGCCTATGGGATACACAGGACCTCGGTTTTTCGTCCTGTCCGATTGAGTCAGCTGGTGTGGTTTTGATTCCCCGGTTGTACGTGATAGGGAGTAGGGTCGCCTGTCCAACCTCGTGGGTTTTCTCTGGGTCCTCTGGTTTCCTCCCACTGCTAAAGACCCCTACTCGCAAGAGAATTATTGAACTAAAATTGAATCATATGTTAGTTCCAAAATGACCTAGTTTCTCTCTCTTCCTATCTCATCCTATCTGAATGACTATGCGTTGTTCCTTGCCGGGCCCTCTATCCTATAACAATGACAAGGGGAAAGCAAAATGGAAAATCCTGATAAACTTTCTTGACCAATGCAGGTATCAAACATGTTAGCAAGCCAAGTCATTGAGGAAGCACCATACTCCCTTAGTTACTTTCGTAACGTATATGTCGATACAATATACGTTACTATAGTAACTACATACTCCCTGATCAACACTCATTCCAAGATTAAGTTAGTTAATCCATATACATGTATTTGTAAAGTGTTTTTGTTTATTTGAAACACTACTTTTCAGGTGTACTACAGAAGAGGAAATGGGAGAACTGTATGCATGTTGATAGATATGCCTGGACTTTCAGACGGCGATTAAATATAGGGGATATCTTAGACATGCATTCTCTTCTTCAAGAAGTAATTGGAACTATTAGCTGTGGAGGAAACATATTGATAAATGTTGGTCCGACAAGCTACGGGGAAATTGCTCCAATATTTGAAGAACGTCTACGTCAGATGGGAGAATGGTTAAAAGTAAATGGAGAATCCTTATATGGTAGTAAACCGTGGAGTCATCAAAATGACACGGTTACTCCTGGTATCTGGTAAGATCATTTAAGCAAATATCGTGTATGCCACATTTAATCTGGACGAATACTGTCGTCATCTCTGTCCGCCTGTTCAAAATTTCTTCATAGATTTGAACTTAGGGAAGAAGCGTATTGAACATCAGAATTTTTTGCTGGCAAGTCAATGAGTGATCTCCCTGTTTGTGTTCAAAGATATGAAAGTATGGGGAAGGGATACATCGGTGGGATTGTGTATCTCGGTATAAGGAAGAACCTATCTTATTTCAAGATAGCGCAGTCAAAAAATATTAAAGTGTTTTGCAAAGTTATCTTTCTGGGGCATTTCAAGTTTGTGAACGAATTATAGGAAACAGTTCTCCTTGGAATTTTGATCATATATAGAGTTTTTTTATGATTTCAGTCAATCACTGAGACTTTAATTTCCAAAATACTTATTGTTTTTATAGGTATACCTCTAAAGATGGACCTACTGGACCAGTGGTGTATGCAAGTGTTCCACAGTGGCCTGCAACTGGAGAACTGTTTCTAGGGGCTCCGATGCCGTCCTCTTCTACTAAAGTCACTTTATTGGGTTATCCTAAAATATTTGATTTTAACCCTGGTGTGAGTGGAGGTCTGACTATCTCGATTCCGACCATCTCTGTTAATGATATGCCTTGTGAATGGACCTGGGTTTTTAAACTAGAAGGAATAAAGAATTAAGATATTATAGGTCACTTTTAAATAATTCTTTTAAATAATGCAAGTAATTATGTAGACATATCCTTTCCATAAGTATAACACGTTCCCGAATGTCAATGTTACGTACCTGCGACAGGTAAATTACAACGTTTTCCGTTAGTAGTTGTAACTTTCTGCCAATAAACAAACCGTGATGTAATGTTAGTCCCTCTTCCCATATTCTAGTGTATATTTCTAGCTATAAGCAGAAGGACTAAAATCACGTCACGGCTTAAGTTGTTTATTGGCGAAAAGTTACAACTACTCACAGAGAACGTTAAAATTTACCTGTGGCAGGTAACATTGCCATTCAGGATCAAGTTATACTTATGGAAAGGATATGTTAACATAATTGCTTGCATTATTTAAAAAAATTTATGAAGCTTTTCCAGTGACCTTTAAATTTAAGTTTTAATTATGACTATTAATTGTTCATAGAAAAGAAACTTATTATTTTTTTGGTATTCAATACTCCATGCTTGTTATATCTATACAAATGAGAATTTAATTATTGATGCTGTTATTGTTTCAAAATCGGATTTAATGGTATTTTTATTTTTTTATTTGTAGTTGTAGATTTTAATTAAAATATTAAAATGGGATTTTTTTATGTTAATTTTTTTTTTAAAATTAATTTTCATTATTTTATGTTAATTTTTTTAAAAAATTAATTTTTATTATTTGCAACTGTAGTTTTATTTCAAATGTTTCATAAGCTTTAACATCCTGGGTCCTGATTTGTATAATTTTTTGTTTGAATTGGAGAGAGGGAGAGAGAGAGAGAGAGAGAGAGAGAGTTTAACCTCCACTCCACACAAACTAGGTTGAACTCTATTTCAATAATTTGCTTGTGCTAGAGGTCTTTAGCAGTGGGAGTTTTTAACTATTATAGTGAGAACTGTCAGCGCTTTAACTAATCTCCCATAATGTATCTTTAATTGTATTCACATTAACATGTTATTGTCCCCCGCCTTTCGAAGAAAGCAGGGGACTATTAAAATGGGTTCGTCCGTCTGTCTGTCTGTCCGTCTGTCTGTCCGTCACACTTTTTGGGACACAATAACTCTCTTCCTAATTGAGCTAGAATGTTCAAACTTGGTGTATGTGTTTATTAGGTCAATGCCTTGATGGAGTTCGAAGATGAGCATTTTCCGCTTAGGGTAAGCAGAGATAAGCAATTTGATTGGTTGATGCTTTGGGACACGATAACTTTAGTTCTAATTAAGTGAGATTGATGAAACTTGGTGTATAGTTTCATTACAGTAATACCTTGACTAAGTTTGATAATGAGCATTTTCTGCTCAGGGTAAGCAGAGCGATGCGCAATTTGATTGGTCGAGACTTTGGAAAACAATAACTCTCCTACTTTGATTGTCCCCCGCCTTTCGAAGAAAGCAGGGAACTATTAAAATGGGTTCGTCCGTCTGTCTGTTTGTCTGTCTGTCCGTTCCGCTTATGGTAAGCAGAGATAAACAATTTGATTGGTTGATCTTCGAATTGAGTAAATGTTCATGCTTATTGTCCCCCGCCTTTCGAAGAAAGCAGGGAACTATTAAAATGGGTTCGTCCGTCTGTCTGTTTGTCTGTCCGTTCCGCTTAGGGTAAGCAGAGATAAACAATTTGATTGGTTGATGCTTTGGGACACTATAACTTTAGTTCTAATTAAGTAGATAAACAATTTGATTGGTTGATGCTTTGGGACACTATAACTTTAGTTCTAATTAAGTGAGAGTGATGAAACTTGGTGTATAGTTTCATTACAGTAATACCTTGACTAAGATCGATAATGAGCATTTTCTGCTCAGATTAAGCAGAGCGATAAGCAATCTGATTTGCTGAGACTTTGGAACACAATAACTCTCCTTCGAATTGAGTTAAAATGTTCAAAATTGGTGTGTATGCTTATTGTCCCCCGCCTTTCGAAGAAAGCAGGGGACTATTAAAATGGGTTCGTCCGTCGTCTGTTTGTCCGTCACACTCCTTCGAATTGAGTTAAAATGTTCAAAATTGTTGTGTTTCACCTACTCTCATCCTCCCATGAGAGTGTGCTAAAATTGTTTTTCACCTACTTGACTCGAATCATCCTCTCATGAGAGTGTGCTAATATTGTTTTTCACCTACTTGACTCTCATCATCCTCTCATGAGAGTGTGCTAATATTGTTTTTCACATCCCCTCATCATCCTTCCATGAGAGTGTGCTTACATTGTTTTTCACCTCCCCTCACCCTCCTCTCATGAGAGTGTGCTATTGTTGTGTTTCACCTACTCTCATCCTCCCATGAGAGTTTGCTAATAATGTGTTTCACCTACTCTCATCATCCCCTCATGAGAGTGTGCTAATATTGTTTTTCACCCACTCTCATAATCCTCCCATGCGAGTGTGCTAATTTTTTTTTCACCTACTCTCATCATCCTCCAATGAGAGTGTGCTAATATTGTTTTTCACCTACTCTCATCCTCCTCCCATGAGAGTGTGCTAATATTGTTTTTCACATCCCCTCATCCTCAAGTAAGAGTGGGCTAATGTTGTTTTTTACCTTCGCTCATCCTCCTCCCATGAGAGCGTGCTAATATTGTTTTTCAGCTAATTAATTATAGAAATTTATGTAGATACCGTAAGTAACAATCATAACAAACAATATCCAGAACTGTATAAATACTACAGAATTATGATCAACTAAAGAAGTATAAAGTCAAGAGTTAGTATAAGTGTCGCCTGTTATCTGTATCTCCTACCTAACTTGTTTCCTTCATGGAGCCACCTTCATATTTATACTAATGAAGGTGTTACCCCTAGATACATACATTACAATAAAGAATACAAAGACGATTCTAGAAAAAAGGCTTATAAATCTGAACTGTACATGGATTAAAATACAATTTAGACATGGATTAAAGTATACAAAGAAGATTCTAAATAAAGGAAATAGGCTTATAAATGTTAACTGTACATGGATTAAAATACAATCATCACATTATATCCCATTCTTATTAGACTACTTATTAAGAGGACTATGCTCCAAGATGTCATATCAGTATTATGGTAAACCATAATTAATTAAACCATGGAAAGATAATTATATAGGGTTTTGACAGACCATGGTGACACAAACCTGGGACATTCTGATCATTACTCCTGACCACTAATCCATTAACTACCAAATTATGTTTGAAGAACATATCCTCAATTTTTTACTGTTAGATAAAGGGAGAGAGAGAGAAATGGGGTTTAACGTCCATTGACACAAACTAGGTCATTTTGGGACTAACATATGGTTTAATTTTATTTACATAATTCACTTGCGCGTAGGGGTCTTTAGCAGTGGGAGGAAACCGGAGGACCCGGAGAAAACCCACGATGTTGGACAGGCGACCCTACTCCTTGCCACGTACAACCGGGGATTCGAAACCACGCCAGTCGACTCAATGACAGACTTTATGATACAGCGTGCGCACGCTAACCATTCAGCCATCCAACCCCCCTGTTAGATAAAGGGAAAATATATGCTATTGAGTGCCATTAATACTTATTAGTGCATTATTTTTTTATTGATATTTTATATTTATTAAGTACTTAAATTAGTTGTTGAGTCTTAAACATTCCATATACTTGTGCTTTTATATTTTTTTTATGTTTTTGGAATAAGAGAATATTGGTTCGAACCTAATTCTTCTGTTTTATTATACTCATTAAGGGATCTAAACCTCTAACTGTATATTCTCAATAAAATTTAAAATTAAAAACTTGAATAAAAATTTGATGTTGGTCAATTCCAATCAATATTGATGTTGTTATCTTGCCGTGAAAACATGGGATCCTAATATCCATATATTTAAGGCATAATGAACATCTTAAAATCAGTTTTGTATTCTATATGGTTTCGAGGCAATTTGTAATGAACAAAGAAAGAAATATCCTACAAGAGAATTCAGAAGTAATTATTAGTCTGATTCACAAGATTAATATGTATATTTTAAGGTTCCATAAAGAATACAGCCATAGCCCTTTTAAAAAAATGACCACAGTAGCTAGTGTTATACTTTTATATCGATTTCCAACTGCCAATTTAAGGGTCCCTTACCAGGCCCTATCCTGACCTGCATTATTTGCATCACTGACAAGGGGGGACCATCCTGAAAAATAATATACTGCAGCTCCCCAAGCACAATTTTCTCACAGAGCCAGTACCTTTCCCTCCAACTGAGCCGTTGATCCTATATTATAGATTAGGTCATCCATTCAAACATTTATTAAATTGCATATATTTAAACAATAATTTATTGTACTTATAAACAATATATATAATCTTGGTTTTATTTGAAATTTCACATTTGTCGACAATATAAATTTTATCTTTATACCATATACTGATTTAAAAAAAACAACCCAATGGCCCATGCGGCCATGGATCACAATGGTTATAATTGTTGAATTCTTAAACGTTTCTATATTGCCCTACATTATTGATTTATTGAGACTTGTAAAACTAGTCTACGACAACGCATTCAGATAACCAAGTAAGTTATGAAACAATAAGAAAATAACCGAGAACTTCCGAATGATATCAAACAATGATCAGTCATGTGACAAGTTTTTGTGATCACGAGTCCTGTCATGCATGGCCTGTTTTCGATTGTTTTGAATTAGGTAATTCATTGTGAACAAGATCATGGCCGAAGTAAGGTTGTTTTGTATATTACTGCTGTTAGCAGTTTGTACAGCTGTTAGATATGAGCCGAATTGGGAATCCCTTGATGCAAGACCCTTGCCATCATGGTATGATCAGGGTAAAATAGGTATTTTCTTACATTGGGGTGTTTTCTCTGTGCCAAGCTATGGATCGGAATGGTTTTGGTGGCAGTGGCAAGGACAGAAGATCCCAGCAGTGGTTGATTTCATGAAACAGAATTACAGAGCTGATTTCACGTATGCAGACTTTGCTCCGATGTTTAAAGCAGAATTTTATAATCCAGACCAATGGGCTGATATATTCAATGCTTCAGGCGCTCAGTAAGTTACAAGTCTAGCAGCTATAGATTTGGGTACAACATACAATTGGCGTACAAATAATTTTATTTTAGATACATAAAAACATACATTATGCAAGAGCTAAATCTGCCTATTGCGGGTCTTTCTTTATCCTTTTAGGCCTGAAATGTTTTCTAAATTATTAATTAGAAATTAATTAACTTAGCCAGGCCATAATGGCATCGGATTTCTCCAATATTAATTAGATTAGAACAGTTCAGTCATAGTTTGATTTAAGGTAAAAATGGAGGAGCGAGACTTAACTTTGAACAACCAGTGGTGATTGAAATTATTGCACACGTATGTCTTGTCAAACCTTCAAAGGCTAATATCTTTGCTCGCAATAGAGTAATTTGAATGAAATTTTCAAATTATTCATTTTACATTATCTATTTCCGAACTATTATAGCAAGAATGGCTAGCTCTTTATCTAAATCTTACATACATGTAATGTATCTTTAAGGATTTTATAAAAGACACATATAGCAGATAGCTTTAAGAAACACTTTGTTCATCATTGAAAAATTTCAGTCTCTGGTGTTTCAGGCACTGCAGTCAGAGGCTAGATTAAAAAATTCATTCTACTATATAATTGATATTAAATTACCAGGTACTGGTACTTCATTTTTGTTTTGTTTTTTAAATCATAATCAGGTCGTTTGAGTTTAGTATTGGCTAGTAATAAAGATACATCAGTTAAGAGTTTAATAAAGAGTTGGCTATATTCTTGCTATAATTCAAAAATAGATGATAAAAAAAAGAAAATATTGAAAATTTCAGTCAAATTACTTTATTTATTCTGAATGGAGTTGTCCCTGTTGGAAGTTTGGACTAGAAATAGGCATCAACTGTGTCCGCATTGTCTATGAGAATTGCCGATCGGCGATCGTTTGATTGACAGACGATTACTCCACCCACATATTGTTGATTATCAAGTACCATTCTCAATGGCTAAGGTACCATCGCTTGGCAGGCCTTTCATCGGAAGTCTCCAGACCAGTAGTGACATCAGTCACTAATGGTAAATGTTAGCTTGGTCGGCAATTTATTGATTTAATTTTAAATGAACGACTATTTAAATCCAAGCTTAATCCAAGCCATCCGACGGTATACAGAGTTGATTTTGAGCTTGTCATGTAAATAAAGGTCTTATTAATAAATTCTATAACATCTAAAGCCTAAATAAAAACTTACAATTGGCAGATTTAGCTCTTGCATAATGTATGATTAATTACTTATATAGTATTTGGTATTTACCTAATTATTGGGTAAATTGTTATTGGGCTATATTAGTTACCGGTACTAATAATCTGGGTAGTATAGTATTGGGCATGTTCCTGAAGCAACGATCGCGAGTTTTACAGTATTGGGTGAATCCCCCTGCCGCTTATTTAAAAGATCTAAACCTCTTTAATTTAACATTTAGATTTTTTTTTTGTGGCTGGATATCCACATTAGAACACTAAATCTGTGAACCTAAGGATTTTGATGTATTCAGAGATACTCATTTTACAAAGCCAAGAAAACATCAAACGGAACTAAATCAACACTTTAATTATTACCCAAATCTACGAGGTCATCTAATGCTGCTTTATCTGATAGACTACAGTCAATAGTTTACTTCTGTAGACTAAGTTGAGTTGTAGGGCTGATAAACTACATTCTCAATTTAATGATCAACCTAAATAAATAACACAATCATCTTACACACCTCTATCTTATGTACTGGTATCTTCTATTACATGTATAATGTACATATATTATATTATTGATATTATAAGGTGGCTCTTATCCCCGTATCAATCAAGTCATTAGGGTTGAATTATATAACTGTACATGTGGGGATCACGTGGCTAAGTGGGTAAGACACTGGTTCGCTAGCCTGGAGGTCGGGTGTTCGATCCCTGCATTGGCCGAGAAAGTTCATTCAGATTGTCCGGCTTGGTTCCCCCTTGTCAGTGATGCAGGACTGAGGGATGAGACGAAAAACTGAGGTCCGGTGTATACATTGGAATGCCCGTAAGAGATCCCTTGGCAGTTGGAATTCGATGTTAGAGTAGGTGATAGTGCCGATGCCCGGGCAAACAAAATTTCCCTCATAGCACACTGTATGGCGTATGCCCGTTTTCATTACCCAACATAGGAGCAGAACAGTAGGACGTTAAACCCCATTTCATTTCATTTTGTACTGTACATGCATTGACCTCCCATTGCAATATGCATGGGTACATTGAAAGCAGTTGATATTGGATAACTTGGTATTCAACTACTACTCAAATCACAAGTGCACTAATACCTTGCTATAATCTTTATACCTTGTGTCACTGTATAAGTTAGAGAGAGAGAGGGGGAGATAGGGTTTAACCTCCACCCGACACAAACTAAGTCATTTTGAGGCTAACATGGTTCAATTTTATTTCAATAGTTCGCTTGCATGGAGGGGTTCTTATCAGTGGGAGGGAACCAGAAGACCTGGAGAAAAAACATGAAGTTGGACAGGCGACCCTACTCGTTGTCATGTACAACCGGGGAATCGAAACCACACCAGTTGACTCAATGGCAGACCTTATGATACCATTCGCCATCCAACCCCCAGTTTGTGAGCTAGCCCCTAAAACGTTGAGCCACTGTGGCTGTAATAAGACAGATATACAATATTGATGACACTATTTTTCTACATTACTTACAGGTTTATGATAATATATCAACTTACATGTACCAACTAAATCTCTTTTAGGACCAACATCTCCAGCATTCCAAGCCCTTAGGTTACTATTTTGAATAACAACCTGGAATCTACCACATAGCCTAGAGTTGGTCGATATTTGAAATTTTTATTATTGCAATATTATAGTGCTTTGAGCAAAGCGACTCGAAATAATTCTCTGAGAAGAAAGTAAATTTTAATCATTGTACCGTCATGCTAATCCTTTTTTTTTTTTTTTAAACAAAATAGGACCTTCTGAAAGATTATTTTATTAAAATAAAATAATCTTTCAGAAGGTATTATTAGGGAAAGGAAGATAGTTTCAAACCATATATTGGATTATTACGTTATTTTAAAGGTAAAATATATTGTCCATAAAATTACGTATTGCAATATATTAATGAAATTATTGCAACCCTGGTTAAACACAAGAGGGGGTTTGGATGGCCGAATGGTTAGCATGTGCGCGCAGTATCATAAGGTCTGTCATTGAGTCAGCTGGATTGGTTTTGATTTCCCAGTTGTACGTGACAAGGAGTAGGGTTGCCTGTTCAACCTCGTGGGTTTTCTCCGGGTCCTCCAGTTTCCTTCTTCTGCTAAAGACGACTAAGCGCAAGCGAATTATTGAAATAAAATTGAAGCATATGTTAATCCCGAAATGACCTAGTTTGTGTTGAGTGAACCTTAAAGTCTCTCTCTCTCTCTCTTTAAACACAAGATTTTTGCATTAATACAGCAGTGTGGATTTATCATGTATTAATTCTTATGTATGACCAATCTGAATTACAATATACTGTGTGTAGGGCGTAATATAACGCCTTGGAGGTATTTTCCCCAACCTATTCTTAGAACATAGTATGTATTTCTTCATCACTTCGTCAAATTAATTATACAATAGGGGGTAGTTAACATTTTAAAAACGTCACGCTTAACGGGTTAATAAAATACAATAATCCTTCAGAGAATATTATTGAAGAAATGGCCATAATATAGGGTCAACAATATATTGGATTATTGTAGTATTTATAACAATCAAAAAATTATTGTCAATAAAATTTACATATAGTGATATATTGATTTGTTGAAATTATGGTCCAGCCCTAATATAGACAACCACAGAAGACTAATACAAAATTTTTATTACAGTATATAAAACAGTAAAACACCTTTTCCAAGCAGTAGGTTAATGATATTATGATGAAATGACAGAATATCAGAATACAAATAATGGAACTGTCTTTAACGATGTTGGATGTAAAAGGCATTGAAGTTTTAGGGTTGATGAATTATGAGGTCGCTGGGTCCAAGTGACAAGATGACACTGCTGGGTTAAGTGATCCAGGGGTCCTCCCGCGAGAAATTTTTGAAATTCCGACCTAACAATTTCAAATCCTATTAAAAAAGGGCTACTATATAAAAATATTTTTTTTTGCCACCATTTTGCTGGGCCCCCTTATCTGAATCAGATAATAATGCAACAGACTTTAAAGATGTTGGATGAAGGATGCAAGTCCTGTAAACTGAATATGGAGAGGGATAGTATTTGCAAGTTATCCCAAAATGAATGAACATTAATTAGGTCACATCAATTTTATTCTATTCAGGAAAACCTATTAAATTTTCTGTTGTATTTCTTGAGAATAAAATAGCAATTTGAAACCAAAGCTTTTAGATCCACATTTTCAAGTTTATAAATTCTAAATTTGAATTAAAAACAATTTTCTTAAGACTCAATTTATCAAAGCATTAAAAATTAAATTGGTTTGGTGGTACCAATATAAATAAATGAAATGAAATGGGTTTTAATATCCTACTGTTCTTCTCCAACTGGGTTAATGAAGACGGAAATATGCCATACAGTGTGCAATGAAGGCAGTTTTGCCTGGACAGCAGCGCTACAGCCTGCTCTTACATTAAATTCCAACTACCAAATGGTTCTTTTACGGGCTAGTCATTGCGTACATTAGAAAAACTAGAAAATGTTCCGTGCTAGGCCCTGCAACATGTATCACTTACCATGGGGAACCACACTGAAAAATCTTGATGAACATTCTCTGTCAACACATTGATCAACATTATATTGTACTGACTACTGATTATGTTACTTTTTTTTTCTAGATACGTTGTCTTGACAACCAAACATCATGAAGGTTTCTGTAACTGGCCATCAAAATATTCCTGGAATTGGAATGCTGGAGATGTTGGTCCTAAGAGAGATTTAGTTGGTAAGGTTTTTCTTTTTTTGAGCTTAAACAAGCCAAAATACAAAGCCAGTATCGTCAAACTTTAAAGGTGATGGCATGAAATGGGGTTTAACGTCGTTTAACGTCCTACTGTTCTGCACCGACTGGGCTAATAAAGGCAGGCGTATATCATACAATGTGCTACGAGAAAGTTTGGCCTGGACAGCGGCACTAAAGCCTACTCTTATATCGAATTCCAACTATACATTGTCCCTTGCCAGGCCCCCCCCATTAACTTTCTAGGTTGACACAGGGATTGAATACGGGACCTCAAGGTTAGCGAGCCAACATCTTACTCACTGAAGCACAGTGGCTCCCTTAATGGGATGCGAAGTTTGAAATTACAAGAACAGTAGGCAGAAAAAATTGCTATCCTGGCAAAATTCCTCTTCCTCGTGGAGCTACAGTGGCCCATTGGGTAAGGCGTTGACTCGCTTACCTGCGAGCCCGTGTTCGATCCCTGTATTGGCCCAAGAAAGTATAGTCGCTTGGATGAGGTCCAGTATACACATTGGTGTGCACATTAAAGATCCCTTGGCAGTTGGAATTCAATATAAGAGTAGGATGTAGCGCTGCTGTCCAGGCAAAATTCTCCTCATAGCACACTATGGCATATACCCGTGTTTAGTTGCCCAGTTGGAGCAGAATAATAGGATGTTAAACCCCATTTCATTTCATTGCTTAAAATAAATGAAGTATTTTTTTGAAGAAAGTTTAATCCACACAATTCTCCTTTTTGATATAATTATTTGATTGACTTTTTCTTTATCTAATTCCAGGAGATTTAGCTAATTCCATCAGGAAACGAACCAATATTCATTTTGGTGTTTATCATTCTATGTTTGAATGGTTTAATCCGTTATTTCTTCAAGATCAAGCCAACAATTTCACCACACAGAATTTCGTTAGGGTAGGTAATCATCTTATTCACGCCGTATAAGTGTCTTCATCACAAGATATTATAGGGGACTGCCCTGCTATTGATATTTCTGGATTCTCTAAAATGGCATCGACCCAACAGCGAGCTATGGGTAGGCCTAGATTTATTTCTTAAGGTCAGCTCATTATTTTGTCAAGGTCGCTGAGATGTAAATAAGGTTAGGGCACGTGATTGTTTGTGAGATTGTAGTTTAGGGTTGGGATTTAGGGCTAGCCCTGTTTACATCTTGTGAAATTTGACCAAACTTGAAGTTGGCCCAATGAAATAGATCTTACCCTATGGGTAGGGGATTGTTTCACATTTTTAATTTCTGTCAGAAAATAATGTGTCAAGGGGGATAACTCAATCATTTAGAATGGCATAATTTAAAAACATGAACAATAAATTTATTCATCTGTTAGAGGCATTTAGAAGTGAATAGAGTAATAAACTGCAACACATTTAAGTCAGATACCTATTTTTTTGGCGATATTTCAAATAGTAGCTGTGTTTCCATAAGTGTGTGTTATAGTTTATCGATAAATTTATTAATGGGATTTAAAATAAATGTAATTTAGATACAAATACACATATAGGGTGTCATAAACAGATTTAACAGAATTAAGCAACTAATGGCCACCACAAAATGGGGTGGGGGGTGGATGGCCGAATGGTTAGCGCGTTCGTGCTGGATCATTAAGTCTGTCATTGAGTCAACTTGCGTGGTTTCAATTCCCCGGTTGTATGTGACAAGGAGTAGGGTCATCTGTCTAACCTCGTGGGTTTTCTCCGGGTCCTCCGGTTTACTCCCACTGCTAAAGACCCCTAGTCCCGAAATGACCTAATTTGTGTTGAGGGGATGTTAAACCCCATTTCTCTCTCTCTAAAATGATGTGTCAAGGGGAATAACTCTGTCAGCAATATTTATTAACATGACCTATAATTTAATAATATAAGACTTCAAAATTGGTTTGATTTTGATATTATCATAGAAAAATGATCAATATTAGAATATAGACTACATGCATATAAATTGTCATAATGATTTAATCAGCAAAGAGATAAACAGCCATTTTGTAGGTATGATTTTTTTCCATAGTTTCTTTTGGGTGAATTTGAAATATATTTTGAAAAACTTTTACAAACTTATTTTATCTTCAGGACAAGACAATGCCAGAATTATATGAATTAGTTAATAATTATGAACCTGATTTAATTTGGTCTGATGGTGATTGGATGACGACATATGATTATTGGAATGCTACAAACTTCCTGGCCTGGCTTTATAATGATAGGTAGATACTTTTCTGATCCAACTGGGCTAATAAAGATAGCAATTGCAATGCGGTGTGGGACATCTGGCCTGGGCAGCTGCTGTCTGCTTACTTTTTGTCAAATTCCAACTACCAAGGCTTTTTTTTATATACATGCCAATGATTACTTACATGGGACTTTTCTTTTTGTGTTATCTGAATGACTAGACCCAATCCCCTTAGACCTGTACTACGGACAAGTGGAAAACAGTCCAGAGGGAACTTTCTTGGCAAACACCATGATCGAATCCGGAACCTTTTGGCTAACATGGCTCCCTTGTATTCATAAAAAGATGAGATATGTAGAACCTTAAAATGTTATTAGTGATTTAGCCAGTTGGCATTTGACAAAAAAAAATCCCCCAGCACCTCCTTCCTGTACATCAGATTTTTAGAAATATTTTTGTATGACCTTAAACTATGGCTGCTATTGTTTACATGATGTACTGAAAATACAGGCCACTATGCCACTCTATGAAAAGACAACATATTGTCCCTTTAATATTCTGAATAAATCATTTGTTGGTTGGTGTTTTTTTCAGTCCTGTTAAAGATAAAATAGTTGTTAATGATAGATGGGGAAACAATGCCAGATGTAAACATGGTGGATTTTTAGATTGTGATGACAGTTATAACCCAGGTAATTAAAGATGGTTGTATAATTTGGGTGGGAGCCCAATGACTCAGTTGAGTCAACTGGAGGGGTTTCGATTCCCCGGTTGTAAGTAACAAGGAGTAGGGTCGCCTGTCCAACCTCATGGGTTTTCTCCGGGTCCTCCAGTTTCCTCCCACTTCTAAAGACCCCTACGCGCAAGCGAATTATTGAAATAAAATTGAACCACGTGTTAGTCCCGAAATGACCTAGTTTGTGTCGAGTGGACGTTAAACCCCATTTCTCTCTCTCTCCAATGACTCAGAGAGTAAGATGCTGGATCGCTAGCCTGGAGGTCCTGTATTTGCTCCCAGTGTTCCTCAGGATTTTTCAGCATGGTTTCTCCTTGTCAGTGTTGTAAGACGGTGGGCCTGACAAGGACAGTGTCTAGTCATTCGGATGGGATGGAAAACCAAGGTCCTGTGTACACATTGCCATTCATGTAAAAGAATCCTTGACAGTTGAAATTCGATATACATGTAAGAGGAGGCCATAGTGCCCTTATAGAACACTGTACGGCGTATGCCCGTCTTCATTAGCCCAGTCGGTGCAGAACAGTAGGACTTTAAGCACAATTTCATTTATTCATTAGTTTTTCGGTGCTGTTCGAAAAGTAGGCCATTAAACATACATTATGCAAGAGCTAAATCTGCCTATTGCAGGTCTTTCTTTAGGCCTAAAATGTATTCTATATTATTAATTAGACATTAATTAACTTTGCAAGACCATAATCAACTCTTGATGTCATCGCTAACCTCAGATATTTACTAGATTAGGATCTGATCTGCTGCACTACGCTCATTCATGATTAAATCAAGAAATGGATAATCGAAACTATGTATTTTATCCTACCGATTTTAGTAATGATGATCGTGGCTAGACCCAAAATTGAATCGCTAAATTCACGGTTCAGAGTGGATCAATTTGACTCAAATTTTCAGCAAATTCCGTTTACTTTATCTAGTTTTTAACTATTATAGTGAGAACTGCCAGCTCTTTATCTAATCTCCCATAATGTATCTTTAAGGAAGTTTTCATACAATATTTTTCAGGCACTCTGCAGAAGAGAAAGTGGGAAAACTGTATGCACCTTGATAAATATTCCTGGGGCTACAGACGAAGAATGAAATACGAAGATGTTTTAGGAATGCAGCCCCTCTTACAAGAAATGATGGAAACTATTAGCTGCGGAGGAAACATATTGATAAATGTTGGTCCGACAAGCTACGGGGAAATTCCTCCAATATTTGAAGAACGTCTACGTCAGATGGGAGAATGGTTAAAAGTAAATGGTGAAGCTATATATGGTAGTAAACCGTGGAGTCATCAAAATGACACAGTTACTCCTGGTATCTGGTAAGATCATTTAATCAAATATCGTGTATGCCACATTTAATCTGTTTTTTACGCCATGTTTAATGTTGACGAATACTGACGTCGTTGTCTCCGTATCTGGTTCGATCGTTTAATCCAGTGTTTTTTTACGCCATGTTTAATGTTGACAAATATTGTTGTCATCTCCGTATCTGGTTCGATCGTTTAATCCAGTGTTTTTTACGCCATGTTTAATGTTGATGAATACTGTCGTCGTTGTCTCCGTATCTGGTTGGATCGTTTAATCCAGTGTTTTTTACGCCATGTTTAATGTTGATGAATACTGTCGTCGTTGTCTCTGTATCTGGTTCGATTGTTTAATCCATTTTTTTTTACGCCATGTTTAATGTTGACGAATATTGTTGTCATCTCTGTATCTGGTTCGATCGTTTAATCCAGTGTTTTTTACGCCATGTTTAATGTTGAGGAATATTGTTTTCATCTCTGTTCGTTTGTCCAAAATGACACAGTTGCTGCTGGTATCTGGTAAGATCTTTTACGCCATGTTTAATGTGGACAAATATTGTTGTCACCAGCATTCGTCTGTCCAAAATGACAGTTACCCCTGGTATCTGGTAAGATCATTAAACTGGATATCGTTTACGACATGCTTAATGTGGACGAATATTGTTGTCACCGTCGTCCATGTGTCCAAACTGACACAGTTACTGCTGGTATTTGGTAAGATCATTTAATTGGATATCTTTTACGACATGTTTAATGTGGATGCATTGGTCTGTCCAAAATGGCACAGTTACCCCTTATATCTGCTAAGATCATGGATTTGTTGAAACTTTATTTGCATTTTCAATATGGAGTCGCACTGGCTCCGTAAGGGTTGGTCGAGAAAGCTCCATAATTTCCGGCGCAGTTTCCGCTTCTCAGTGGTGCATCAGAATGATGAGACGCCATCCCTTGCCAGGCCCTCCATCCTGCACCACTAACAATGGGAAACCATTTTATTTTCAATTTTATTTCAATAATTCACTTGCGTGTAGGTGGGGTTTATCAGTGGGAGGAACATAGAGAACCTGGAGAAAACCCACACGGTTGAACAGGCGACTAGGGCTGCAACGATTCACAACTACCTCGATTCGGTTCAATTATCGATTTTAACCATTCGATTCGATTATTTTCGATTCGATTATCAGCTACAATAGCCAGTAATTTTTCCTGTATATAATTCATTAAAAACAATGAAAACACAAGACTAAAATTCTCTTGAACACCTTTATTCATTGGTTTGACAGGTTTGTTGTGTTTCCTGTTTTATGGGATATGTCAGTGTAGCATACTCTACAAGTTGCCACATCTTTAGAGTTTTTTCTTACACCAAAATGATCCCAAACTTTAGATTTCAAATGACCAGGTGGTCGAGAAAGTACGTCGTCTGCCATAATTTTACCTTCCAGTCGTGTTTGCTTGACTACGGGTAATAATCGTTAAACACGAAAATATCCGAAGATAATGACCGGAATTATCAGCTAATGAGATCGTTTAGAATTTATATAACGATTACCGAAGCTATTAACCTAAATTAACATCCAATGAACATTCGGTACGTCACCAATTTTAAATAAATTAACTTTCATCGGCATACGCAAATTGTGTTAAAGGGAGGTCACTCTGTTTTAGTTCTGTTTTCGAGTGACATTCGTGTCTTGTTCACTGATCTCTATAAATTTATAGAGATCAGTGGTCTTGTTAAATAACATAAATTGAAAGTTACGTAAAAACAAAGTTTTTTTTAAAATTTTAAGTGGACTTAATTGCTTCAGGTCTTTCATTTTTTTTCATATGGTAAGGTGTACGTTGTTTTTATTTGAAATTTAATTTGCAATTGAACCGAATCGAAATTTGAACGTTGTATCGTGGATCGAACCGAGGTGGCTAGTGTCGGTTATCGGTGCACCGAACTGAATCGTTGCAGCTCTACAGGCGACCCTACTCCTTGTCATGTACAATTGAACCATGTGTTAGCCCCAAAATGACCTAGTTTGTGTCAAGTGGATGATAAACCCCATTTATCTCTCTCTTTTTTTAAGATGAATATTATTTGTAAAATACTTGTTATTTTTTATAGGTATACCTCTAAAAATGGATCTACTGGACCAGTGGTGTATGCAAGTGTTCCACAGTGGCCTGAAAATGGAGAACTGTTTCTAGGAGCTCCGATGCCGTCCTCTTCTACTAAAGTTACTTTATTAGGTTATCCTAAAATATTTGATTTTAACCCTGGTGTGAGTGGAGGTCTGACTATCTCAATTCCGACCATCTCTGTTAATGATATGCCTTGTCAATGGATATGGGTGTTTAAATTAGAAGGAATAAAGAATTAAATGCAGTAATACTCACTATATTAATTCAAACTTGTGTTCACAAATGGTACTTACTAGACGTAATGTATAGATGTTCATCATTCGATTTCCATGAAAGATTGGTATATAATAATAACTCTTTAATAAAAAAAATAATAATCACTTAATGACGAAAGGGTAGAAATTTAGGTCTGGGGCCGTTCTTTTATTTTACCCTTATTAACAACATCAAGCATGCATAAAACCAAGCAATTTTTTTATTAAAAGTGTAATACATGTAAATATTTGTCTAACCTACCCCTCTGCTAACTTAAAATTCATATTTTCTCAAAGGTTCTTGATGATATTAATTTTGTAACATTCTATTTTCAATTTCATTTTTTGATCTTGAATTCTTCAGTAAAAAATATTTTCAAACTATTTTCTCTTTCAAGGAATTCCAGAGCCACTATTATTACACATGATGTTTTTTTAATACTGCTTTTATATCACTGATGGGTTTTTTAACTTGAATTCCTTAATGAAAAATATTTTTCAAACCATTTTCTTTCCAAGGAATTCTATAGCCACCATTATTACATTGTTTGATTTTAATATCGGCTTAATGTCATTGATAAATTTTTAGAAAACTAAATGTCTATATATTTTGACATATCACAGTGTATTCGAATTTTAAGATTTCACAAATGACAAAGTATTTTAATTGTGTAAATGAATTTAAGAATATATCTTATTTTGAAAATATTTTAAACAGTATTCTAAAAGTTTGTATTCATTAATTAAATTGTTAATTGTGTATTTTAATTTTGTAATTTCACAAAGTATTAATATTGTAATTGTAGTAATAAATTTTATTTTAATTATTTTAGTACCACAGGATGATTGTACTTTGCGACACTATTTTTATATCCACTAACCATTTTTACATATTGTTGAATGTATTCGCATTTGTATTTATGTAATGTATGTATTTGTTGTTTTATCCACTTAACGAATAATTTCATATTTCCGTTGATGGTTTTACCACTTAAGAAAATAATTCCATTTTATGATAATAGATGATTTGATATTTATATTGAAAGTTTATATATTTGGAAATTTAATTTTGTCAAACTTGACATTCCATTTTGTTGTAAATATTTTTAATTCTATAATTGATAATTTTCTACCCAATTTAAATGTTTTTTTTTTCTTCTAAATTTCTTTTGGACCAACACTGTTATATTATTTTATGATACTAGTTTAAAGAATAGTAAATTTAACTGACGCTTCTGTGTTTCTTTGTCATTGGCACCTTCTCTAGACAAATGAGTATGACAGACTCACTGGGCGAATGGCAGGTGTTCATTAGTCTGGTCACCCAGACAAGGTGTTCATTAGATGAACAATAAATGTAGAGGATAACATGTTACTTAGATGAATGACAAAGAGAATGTCAGAGGTTCAGTCTTTTTGTCATTCATCTGTGAATCCCCGCCATTCTCTTGATCATTACCGTAATGAAAACATGAGAATTGATCACTTGAAGGTTCACTTCCGGTGTAGACCGAGTATTCTGTGGGATTTTCAGACGTGGTACCCGCTTGTCTTGGCATGCACGTAATAGAACCAGTGACAGTTGGAATTGGAAATAAGAGTAGGTCGTACCGCCACTATCCGGGCAAAATTTCCCTCATGGCACAATGCGTGGCATATGCCCGTCTTTATTAGCCAAATCGGTTCATTTAAAGCTCACGGAAAAAGCTTCATAAATCGTAAATGCAAGTAATTATGTCAACATACCCTTTCCATAATTAATAAGCTGATTGGTCAATTATGCAGAAATGAAATGGGGTTTTACGTCGTACTATTCTGCTCGTAAACTGGGATAATGAAGACAGGCATACATCATACAGTGTGCTATGAGGGACATTTTGCCCGGGCAGGGGCACTATGACCTACTTTTAAATCGAATTCCAATAGCTAAGGGTTCTTTTACGTGCTCGCCAATGTATACACGGAACCTCGGTTTTTCGTTCCACCCAAACAACTAGACAGCTGTCCTTGTCAGGCCCCCGTCCTGTACCACTGGCAAGGTCAATCATGCCCTTATATGTAAAGAATTAACCAAAATGAAATGGGATTTAACGTCCTACTTTTCTGGGCTAATGAAGAGGGACATACGCTATACCGTGTGCTATGAGGGAAATAGAATTAACCAAATATGGATATTGTTGCTCTGACATCACATCTGGTATATTGCGACTTCAGTCAATTTAAAACGCAATTAAGAATAGATATTAGTTTGGAAACACAGGTAGAAAATGGTGTGGTTTTGATAAACAAAAGGGGAATGACATTCTCTGAATTTTGTTTTGGATCATTTTAATAATTATCAATATATCATCGGTTTCCGTTATGTCTATCTAATAAAACCTGCTTACGAATTTGAAAGCAATATTAGGTACAACTAGAATGACTGTATGACCTGAAACATCAGGTTCTTTCGATGTGTGTGTGAGAGAGAGAGGTGGGGTTTAATGTCCACTCGACACAAACTAGGTAATTTCGGGACTAACACATGGTTCAATTCACGGGCACTTTTAGGGATTAAATTAAAGGCAGTGGCTATTGTTACGACGAGTCGTAAAAATAATCCCCAGGTTATTGTTACGACGATGCTTTCACAGCCCTCCATCGGCGAAGTTAAAAACTGAGTAATCGTAAAAATAGTCCTAACCCTAACCCTTCCCATCTCTTAATTGCTGCCTTCAGTTCTGAAAACGTTGAAAATACTGCTCCTTTTTCAAAGCTGGTGTTGGGGAGATTGGCAGCCATTTTGGAATCCATTCTAAACTTGGCTCAAACTCTTCGTAACAATAGCCACTTTGTAAATTAAAACTAGCGTTAGAACTAGTCAGTATTGTGAGATGATAACAGACGAAATGTCTTGAACGCGTGAAAACAACATGGAGGGTGAGAAACGTTGTATATAATATAATATTATAGTCAAGCAGAAGTAGGAAGTTTTATTTTAATCCCTTCAAGTGCCTGTGGTTCAATTTTATTTCAATAATTCGCTTGCGCGTAGTTTAGTCCTTGTCGCGTACAAACGGGGAATCAACACCACGCCAATTGACTAAATGACATAACTATTATGATACAACGCGCACGCGCTAACCGTTTTGATGAGACGGCCAACCGAGATATCGTGTAAAATAGTGCATGTGAAATATTCTTTGACATTTGGAATTTGAAAAGGGGTTCGTGACTTCGAGATGTTGTTGTTCGGGAAAACACCCCAACCCCTCCCCACATTGTTCACCTACCCATAGAAATACACTTGCCATGATGTATTAGTCATTAAACATTAGTCTTTCCAACCTCGTGGGTTTTCTCTAGGTCCTCCAGTTTCCGCTCACTGCTAGACCCCTACACGCAGGCGAATTATTGAAATAAAGTTGAAACATATGTTAGGCTAGTCCCGAAATGACCTAATTTCTGTCGAGCGGACGTTAAACCCTCTCTCCATCAGTAGTAATGTTTTATCTTACCGTGAAAATACGGGATCCTTACATTTAAGAACAAATACCCATTATTTAAGACACAATGAACATTTTCAAATCAATACACGACGTTCTGTAATCTATGGTTTCGAGCGCCATACGACAAAATAATAATAATAAAAACTCGAGTAGAATAGACTAATTAATTATAGCAGGAACAAATGACTGTCGTACATATTGGACTGTTTACATATTTCACCGAACATTATTGATTAGAAATTACTATAAAAGATTAAATATTGAATATAAATCACTTTATATAATGTGCTTATTTAGTCCAATATTTGTATATTTTACGATTCCAAAGAATAGAGATATATACGCATTAAAATGTGATGTGTTGCTAAAGACCCCTATGCATTCTCGTTTTATTAAATGGTGTTTACGGTTCCAAAGAATAGAGATATACGCCTTAAAATTTGATGTGTTGCTAAAGACCCCTATGCACTCTCGTTTTATTAAATGGTGTTAAGTGGTCTCTCTGTCTCTCCCTCTCTCTCTCTCTCTCTCTCTCTCTCAGTAAGTTCTACGTGTGTTAAGCAGAATCTCCGCGTATTTTTTTTTTTTATCGAGTTACACTTTTGGGTTTTTTATTAATGCTTTTTAAAAAATGTTTTAGAATTTTATTTGCAGAATAAAAAAAAAAATCATTTTTGAGAGCTAATCAACTCGCCCCGATTTGTGTTACCCCTTTCGGTGACATTGACGGTCAAGCGAGTATTTACTTCTGATCAGATTTATAAACAGATATGTTTAGCTACAGCTATATGGGAAATTTTAACTATTAAATAAAAATAAAAATAGTCTTTAAACTGGTTTGTTTTTTATTTTGTTTCTGGTGATTTTGCATTCTATATATTTTAAACGATTTACAGAACGACTTCGTCCTAAAATATTTTTGGACCAGGAACTGGTCACTAACCGCTAATCATCTTGTCCTTCTTCGTCTTGGGTTGGCGCTCTTCGGAAAAGCTTAAGGCTCCGTCAACATGAAAATTGGTATGCGTCTTTTTCGGACAATTCTGCATCGATTTGGTCAATTCGAGTTTTAAATTTCATCCCCTATCATGGTCAGTTCCTGGTCGATTGTACGATCGTACTTATTGTTACTCAGATAGGAAACATTAAACATACATTATGCGAGAGCTAAATCTGCCTATTGCAGGTCTTTCTTTAGGCCTGAAATGTTATCTAAATTATTAATAAAGCATTAATTAACTGATCCAGGCCAGAATCAACTCTTGATGGCAACAGATTTCCTCCGATATTAAATAGATTAGAAAGGTTCAGCCAGACTTAACTTCGAACAACCAGTACGGTGGTTGAAATTATTGCACACGTCTTGTCAAACCTTCAAAGGCTAATATCTTCGCTCGCAATAAAGGGATTTGAAAGGAATTTTCAAATTATACATTTTACATTACCCAATTTCGAACTATTATAGCAAGAATGGCTAGCTCTTTATCTGTGTCTTACATGATGTATCTTTAATTAAGTAGCCATTGACGTGGGTCAAGTTATGTTATTCAGTAAAGTAAAGAATTTGTGGTTAAAGGCGGTACAAATAAATCTTACATAATGTATCTTTAAATGAAAACAATTTAAGCATTAACATCTTACCAGTATTAGTTGTTCAGAAGGTGGTAGTATCCGGAGCAATAAATATTATTATTTTAAGACAGATATAGACCTCCAATCCCCTCTCACGCATTCCTTTATGGCCTCACGATCGTGTCAGTACCAAATGTCGAACTGGTAGAATTTAAATAGGGATTAAAGATACATTATGTGAGATTTCGTTAAAGCGCTGACAGTTCTCGCTATACTACTTTAAAAATAGATAACGAAAAGGGAACTCGCGATAATGTCAGTACCAAATGTCGAACTGGTAGAATTTTAATAGGGATTAAAGATACATTATGTGAAATTTCGTTAAAGCGCTGACAGTTCTCGCTATACTAGTTTAAAAATTGATAACGAAAAGTTAACTCGCGATCATGTCAGTACCAAATGTCGATTTTAAATAGAGATTAATGATGTATAGATAAAAAGCTGAAAGTTTTCGCTATAATAAATTCTGTGAAAAATAGTTAATGGGAAAGAACATGTTGTTAATTTCAGTGAAATTACTTCATTTTGAACGGAGTTATGTTCGCTTGAAGAATAGTGTAGTCTCGATTGTCATTGCTAACAATGTTACGATAATAAACACAGCCTCGATTATCCACTTTTTACTTAAATTATTAACCGACTGTCGTGTTTAAATCCGTTGAAAATCAAACCACCAGATAATCTAGCAAGTTGATTATGGGCTTTGCATGTGAATACATGTCTAATTAATGATTTATATACCATTTGAGGCCAAACGAAAGATTTAAATCTTACATTATGCATCTTTAAGATATCAATGAATAGCTGAAGAAACTGAAAGAGACGAAGGGTACTGTCAGACTATTTACTATGACAACGTGAGTTTACCGACTATCGGCTCAAATACGTTGTGGGACAACTCGGGTTGTTGAACCCGATAACATGAACCCGGAATAATTCTGGCCGGAGACAGTATCTAGGTTACAGGATCCGTGGTCCCATTCTGCACTCAGAGAACTATCTACTTTGAGAATAGATCTCTGCCCTACATAGCCGCCATATCCAAAAATTCGTATACTATTTTGTAATGCTGTTCTCTGTTTCGCTAAATAAACCGTTTCACTTTTATGAAA